TCATTTTCAACCAAACATGTTACAAAATCCGGTTCATTTTCTACCATACATGATAGAATATCCGAGTCAAATTCTACCAAGTAGGTGAGAAAATCCGGTTCGAAGGATTTTTCAACTCTAGCACGTTTGCTACGTCTGGGTTCGGCTTCTTCTCCGGACCCCTCGCTAGTATTTTCCATAGCTACGTCAAATGTTCGTTTTGACGTGCTTGGTCCTTCGTTGGACTTGTATGGAAATACGTCATCAAATAATGATGCATTCCTTGATTCAATTATTGTGTTTTTATGTACATCCGGATTATTCGAATCGTACACTAAAAACTGATAAGCACTACTATTTTGTGCATACCCAATAAAAATACAATCCACCGTTTTTGGACATATTTTTATTTTCTTAGGTGTTGGTACAAGCACTTTTGCCAAACATCCCCACACTTTTAAATATTGATAGGAAGGTCTTCTACCTTTCCACAACTCGTAGGGAGTTTTATCATATTTTTTCCGGGGTACCTTATTTAAAAGGTAATTGCTTAACAAGACTGCTTCGCCCCACATATTTTGTGGCAGACCCGAACTTACTAGCATCGCATTCATCATATCTTTCAATGTGCGATTCTTTCGTTCGGCAACACCGTTTGATTGAGGTGGATAGGGTGCGGTACGTTCATGTAGTATACCCACGCTCGCGCAAAAGTCATCAATTGGTGCTTCATACTCACCACCTCGATCACTTCTAACCGTTTTAATCCGCCGATTAAGTTGGTTTTCCACTTCATTCTTATAAAGAATGAATTTATCGATTGTTTCAAGTTTATTTTTTAATAAATAAACATAGCTATAGCAAGTGCTATCATCGATAAAAGTAATAAAATATTTATTACCGCCACATGTTTGTATTGATTTCAAATCACAAACGTCACTATGAATTAATTCAAGTGGTTCCATTTTTCTTTCAACCGATTTGAAAGATGTTTTCGTTAGTTTTGCCTCAACACAAACTTCACATTTGTGCTTCACATCAATTGTGAATTTAGGAATGTGTTCTATGTTAATTAATCTACGTATAGAATTAAAATTAACATGTCCTAGTCTACCATGCCACACATTGGAAGACTCAAGCAAGTTAGCAGAAGAGATTTTATTATTATAATTAATAATAATATTCATTACATTGAGCTTAAACAGTCCATCAACTGCATACTCCTTGCCCACATACATTCCCGATTTAGACAAAACTAGTTGACTTGAGAGTCCCTCTTCTTCTTGGGTGCCTTGCAATCCGCGGACTTGTGTCCGTTTTTATTGCAATTGAAGCATTTCCCATTGTACTTTGTCTTGGAAACGCCTCCCTTGGGACCAAGCTTGCTCTTCCCGTTATTTTTATTTTTTGAGCCTTTTGCATGCTCCACCACGTTGGCCTTGGCGCCGTTAACGATTGGGAGTTTCTCATCATTCTTCCGGTTATCTTCTTCAATCTGCAGACGGAGGATCAATTGCTCCAAGTTCATTTCCTTTCGCTTATGCTTAACGTATTTCTTGAAATCCTTCCAAGCCGGCGGCAATAAATGGATAATTGACGCCACTTGGAAACACTCACTAACTGGCATTCCTTCATCTCGAATTTCGTTGAAGATCATTTGCATTTCCTCAACTTAAATCAAGACCGTCTTCGAATCCACCATTTTAAAATCAAGGAATCGGTCGACAACAAATTTCTTTGCACCGGCATCCTCGCTCTTATATTTGTGGTCCAAAGCATTCCATAGCTCCTTAACCGTAGCTAATTTGCTATACACGTCGTACAAAGCATCATGCTGCCCGTTTAACACGTAGTTTTGGCAAAGGAAATCAGAATGTTCCAAGCTTCAACCGCGTTGAAAGATTGGGCATCCACCTCGCCCCCGGTTGCTACCGGCGCATCTTCGGTCAAGAACCTAGCAAGACCGAGAGTGGTGAGGTAAAATAACATCTTTTTCTGCCACCTCTTGAAGTTTCACCCATCAAATTTTTCAGGTTTCTCCACAGAGTTGCTCGGCACGGTAACCATAGGGATTGCCCTTTGGTTGCCCAAAGTAGATGCACCGCGTTGTGAACCATTGTTCACTGGTGCTCCACTTTCAGAGTGAGTGTCGTTTGGCACGTTTTGCCCAACAACATTCTGAATTTCTCGAGAAGCCATTTTAACGTTTTCAACGTTTTCCGAAAACACAAAAAAAATAAGTTCGTTCACCAAAGTGACAAACTACGATTTAAGATTGTATCTGTGTGATACAAGCTTGGAAAAATACGTTTTAAGATTGTTTACCACAGTAACACAATCACGGAATATGTTTCAAGATTGTTGGGTGTGTTTCGAAAAACAAAGAAATGTAATTAATAAAATTAATTAAAATGACTAAAAAAAACAGAAAGTAGATGGAGCAGAATTAACCAAAGCTCATGCAACGCACGATGTCCTTAAAACGTATTTGTTGCCTTCCGGGGTGCTAGGAGCGTTGCCACAATCGTTTCCCAGGATACGATGACTACGAACAATAGTTTGAGCACTCAATCAAATTGTTCCGGCAAACGAGAACAAGTATGAACACCAAGGAATTTTTCAGAAATGCTAGAGGTGTTTTTGAGAGCTAAAGAGTGCGTGGTGAACGTTTGTATGTGTGTTGTTGCAAACCACCTGCTAGCCAATTTATAGAGGAAGATTTGTTGTGTGTTAATGACGTTTTAATGGACATTACCTTTGGACATCAATGTCCAATAAGTTGGCATTGAATTGTCCGTAATAGTCCATTTAATTGCAAGGAACGTTGGGCATTTAATTTCCGTAACGGAAGCAACAGGCTGCGGGCAGCAGGCGGCTCAGCAGGTGGCTGCGAGCAGCAGGCGGCTCAGCAGGTGGCTGCGAGCAGCAGGCGGCTCAGCAGGCGGATCAGCAGGCGGCTGCCTGGGCAGGCACCTGCCGCTAGCAGCGGACTCAGCAAGCGGCTGCGGGCAGTAGACTGCTCCAACGGGCTGAACTTTTAGAATCTATTTCTCATTCACCCGTTATTCGTTTTGAGTGTACCACATATCGAATTGTAGCCCTTAACAAGGAAAATCTGAAACCACTTTGATCCGATCCAAATCGGAAGTGGGCCTCACTCAAAATATTGCTCCAAAATGACCATTTAATGCAATTTCTTAACACATTTTCCAACAACCCGTGTGCAGACAACGTGGGTTGTCTTATGCTCCATTAGTGGATAAGTTTTTCTCATCTAACCAATACGCGGCCACATATCATAGAGTCTTCAAACCCATTCCTAATCGTGATTATTGGCCTACTTACAATGGACCTGAAATCGTGCACGATCCATCCATGCTTCAGGCAAAGGGAAGACCTAAGTCGACACGTATTAAGAATGAGATGGATGAAGGTCCCCGAGGAACGATTAGATGTGGAAAATGCCACTAATCTGGCCATAATAGGGCCACATGTGTGAAGAGATCGTCAAGACATGATGGGGGGTCCAGTGGGTAAGGTGTTAATTATAGTAATTCACAATTCATCTTAGCGTTGCATGAAAACATATTAATTAATAAAATGGATGATGAAAAAAAGTATAATTCGTATAATACTAAAAATTAACTAATACGATTTTGTTTTTTTGTAGGCATGGAGGTGACAGCGGATCCTGGGCCGAGTGATCAAGATGACCATGAGAACTTCTACTTTGTTTTTTGTATTGCAGTTTTTCTTGTACAGAAGATATTGTAGGAACAATTTACAACATTTTACGCATTTTCTCTTGTATGTTGTCTTAGATGATTACTTGATATGAATATTGGATGATTGTATGTACTGTGTTTTACTGGTGTGTTGTATGTGTTTTTCTTGGATGATTACTTCTGTATCAAGATGTTTTATAATGTGTTGTATCTGGCTTGTAACACTTAAACAGGAGAAGGGAGACCTTATTTATAGCAAACAGATGCGTCTAGTTTGAATTGGGGCAAAAAAACTGCTGAAATTCTGTTTTCGGAATTAGGCACGACCGTGCCTACCCTTGCAGGTACGATCGTGCGTGGCTGGCAGTAGCTGCTGGCCTGCCTTCATATGGAAGGAAAAGTCGCCCAACGGTTGGGCGACTTTCCCTAACCATGGTTAAACCCAACAGTAGATCGGTAAATATATTTTTACAGCATTATTTTCGTAATTAATTAATTAATTAACATCAATTTGGAAAAAAACTCGTAGTATGTTTGTTAGCTAAAAAAGTTATAAGCCTATTTGGTGATGCTGATTTTGTGTTTATCACGTTTATCGGCCAATTTTTACACCAAACACGTAATTTTTATTATGTGCACTGAGTTGTGTAATAATAAGAAAAATAAATTTAGAGTTACTTTTCTGACTGTATTGACTGAAATTACTGTAGAAGATCATTTTAACTATTTTTTCATGTAATTTTTTCTTTAACTTATTAATAAAATATATTTTATATATGTAGTATAATATTTCATGAATCAGCGGAATCAGCCGATCCAGCCATTTCAGTCAGAACTTCATAAATTTCAGCAGAATCAGTCGATTCAATTGATTTTAGTGTTACCAAACAGACTCAATATCTCACTCTAAAAAAAGTTATATGTTACTCTCTATATCATACTTCCTCTGTCCCATTGGACTTTGCCAACTTTCCATTTTTGATTGTCCCAAAAAACTTTGTCACTTTCCTATTAAATAGGCCTGTGATCGGTTCGGTTCTTGTTAAAATTCGATGGAACCGTATTAAAAATTACAGACGCTAAATTCGGTTCGGTTGTAGTTTAAAATGTAGTTGTTAAATTCCGTTCGTTTCGGTTCTTACATTTTTTCGGTTCCTAATAAAAAATTATTATCCTCTTAAAATGGACACATTTTACCCCTTCAGTTACATAAAAAAATTCAAATTTTAAATGATGAAATTATGATCATTACATTATACATACATGATATTCCAATTTTCAAATATCACAAAAATATCCAAGTGCAAACATTAAGTTTAATCATAAGAACAACATAAAGGTTTAAAATAGACATCAACCGTCAAACAAAAAGGTTTAATAACTTCAAGGTACACATCCAATAGCAGGTAGTTCAACCTCAAAATAATATTCTTCTACTAGTAATGCACCATAAGTAAAAAGTATGTAGTAATAAACAGAACAGTAATATTTGTAATTTACTATGAACAATTAATAACATAATCAGCGGAATACTATTTCCTTATTGTGAAATCAAACAACAAATACAATCACAAACAAATAATAAATATAAAAATCGACTAAAGTAGTAAAATAACAACTGCTCGAATTGGCGTGATCCACAATATGTATATTATGCAAGACAAATATCCTAACAAGAATTTTCTGCCCGGAACGTCGTCTGACCACCTCCATTTCGGGTAAAAAAAATTGATGATATATTGTGCGCATGTTATGCATGAAGTGTAGATTACATCCACCAAATTTCAGCTTAAAATGCAATCGGAAGTGAGTTAAATAAAATATTGAAAAACATTGTGTTTTTTTTTATAAAATGTAAATATATATATATCCAGAAAAATAGCATAAGTAAAATCAGTAACCAAAAGGGGCTAGTCTATAAAAGGCCAGCCCATAATCAAAATCCAGTCAAAGGACCACATGTCCATCAAATCCACCAGTCCAAGCCCAAAAAGAAAACCCATCCTTGCATTCAAAAAAAAACTGCCTTGCGTCAGTAAGCATCCAGCAGCACAAGCGAAGCCCAATTCGCATCAAAAAGGCCCAAGTCCAACCCAACCCAGCTGCCTGCGACCAAGGGTTTCTCCTCGTAAGCTCCAGCGCCGCACCAGCATATTTCGAATTTCAAAATTTGAATTCGGTCAAACATCTGACAGGCTATCCAAACCCGTACCCCCCTGTCCCAGCCCCCCACCTGGTTCGGCGACCCTAGGCTCCCCGGTGAGCCAAAACAACCAAAAACACAAACCGGAACAGTAACCAAAGCCAAACCGACGGTCCTCATCCCACTCCCCACCCCCGTTGAGCCCCGGCAGCCCTCAACGACGTTGGTAGACAGCGTTTAGAGGCGGAATGACAGTAGCCGGAAACCACAGTCAGAAACAAAGCACAACGAACAGGCGGTTCCAACTCCCCGTGGCCGGTCGTCTTCTCCGGCGAAACCTGTACGTCGTCGAATACCTTAACAAATCCAGACGGGAGAGTCAAGTTGGGGAGCCCTCAGTCGCGAAGGGATAAACTCCTACCTTCTTCTCCGGTCCAAAACCGGCAATCCGCCATAGAACCCAACACGAATCCTCTGCAACGCCACGAACCAAGAGCCTACCACTTCGCCTTCCAGGATTTCCGTTTCGCACCAGACCAGTAGCCATCACCTTTACGTCACCAACTCAAAACCTGGACCCCGGCCGCCATCAGTGGTGGCTCTGAATCCAGCGCGGCTGGATTTCCTTTCTCAGCAGCGGATGAAGCTCGGCAGTTCCAGCGGTTCCAGCATCATCAAAACCGTAAAAGATCAATTATCAAACACCAACCAGTCAAGAACATCCCACCAAAGTGGGAAATTTCCCAAAAAAATTTCTAGAACATCAAGAAACCCAGCCCACCGGAGCCAGGAGGGTCCCGGCGGCGGCAACCACCGTGAGTGGCGGCGCCGAGACGAACCGAGGGGGAAGAGAGAGCAAATTAGGATCGGATTCCTAGTGAGAGACGCTCTCAACTCTCTCTAGAACCCTTTCATCTTATCATACCGAGTTCTAAACATTGTGTTTTGGAGGTTGCTTCCTGCACCCCCAAAATTTCTTAATATAACCCTTAATGGACAAATTTAGCCTTCTTATTAACCCTAAGTGTAATTACAACGTTAATTAAAAAGTCTATGCACACCTCCGTAGCTCCAGACTCGGCTATTCTCTTGTCTATAGGAATTTCAACTTTAGTTATACATCCAATAAAAGTATGTCATGTGTCAAGTAATTATTTTTTTTATGAAATGTCATAACTTTTTCATTTTTACTTCAATTTTTATAGAAATTATACCAAATTAAATATTTTTTTATGATCTTTCATTAGACACCAATATCATATATGTAATTTTAAAAAAATCTGTTCAAGTCTCGTGAACTGTCGATAAAAAATCTGGCCAAGTCTCGTAACTCATTAAATGTACAAAAAGAAACATATTTATTTGCAACACATGTGCCTCAAATTTATAATGGTTTTAATTAGTCAAAAATACACTAGAAAAGTATAAAAATAATAATCAAAATATAATCTCTCGAGTTTCAAAGCACAAAAAGTTTTTTTCAATAACCCCAAAAAACCTAAACATTCAGAATTGTTCAATTCTGATCTCATCTGATCTAGTTTCGTATATGTGTTACTAATATCTAAGTTCGATATAGTATAGGATAATATAAAAGCCGTTAATATCTAAGTTTCGTATATGCTTATTTATATTTAAAATTTTGGATAAATAAAAAATACTACGTATTAAACTAACATTCTAACTTATATATAGGAGCCGTTAATTTATAAAAAGACAATTGCTATTTGAAGTGTACTTATTAGTTTGACAAAAATTAATTATTGGGTGGCATTAAATTATTATTATAATACAAATAAAGATGTTTTTAATTGAAATAAAATTTACTGGTTTAATCTAATATGATATAATCTTGTCTTATTTGTTCTATTTAAGTTTGGTCTGGTCTAGTCTGAACTGGTCTATTCAAGAATCGTTGGGCGAGTTCTTGATATGAGTCAATGCAGCCCTCGGGCAATCGGTTGAACCATTCGTAAGCCGGCCCCTCTAAGGTGGAGAGGAACCAGCGGCACAAATATTCATCTGATGCCCCCACCATCATCATGCTGTTTTGATACCTGCTGTAGTGCTCTTCGGGGTCAGTCTTTCCGTCGTAGGGCTTGATGAGCTGCCCTCAATATTTTTCCGGGATCCGGGCCGCCAATACCCTTGGGGTAAATGGCGTCCGGGTCCGGAGCTGTATGGCGGGTTCCCCGGAGCCCTCGGCTATCTTCTTCTGCATTTCTTCCATCTTGGCCATCATCGCCTCATACTTGGGGTCCGTATGAGGGGCAGAAGTGGTGGCGTGGGCTTTGGTGGCCTCTATCTCGTCAAGCCGACGCTGGAGGGCCTCAATGATTTCGTCCCGGGGGTCCTTCGGGAGGGCCTCCGCCCCCTGCGAATGGACCCAGGCCGAGTGGGCCTGGTTGATTTGGTGGTGAGCGTCATCGGCATGGAGAGGTGCCTTGCCTTTGTCTTGAGGGGGACGCCTTTCATTGGCCCTGGAGACGGACCCGCCACTTTCCTGAGGCCTCTGGAACGCCTTCCCCCCGAGCCGGTCTTGGACCCATCGGCGGTCTTGCGCCCCTTCGAGTCTCTCGAGGGTGGAGGTCCGGAGTTGTTCCTTGTTTACGTTGTGGCGGTCCCGGGACTGGACTTTTTGGGAGGCCGTATCTTGGGCCACGACCCCCTCGGAGTTCCCCATCCGGAGGACCGGGTTACCGAGGGGTCGTGGATGAGGGGGAGGCATAATATTCTCCCCGACCTGAGGTTGGTGGGGAACCAAAGTGCCGAAGGCACCCGGGTTCTGAGTGAGCGTCTGGATGAAGGCGGAGAGCGCCGATTGCACGTCGATTGTGATGACCGGAGGGCTAATTTTGATTCTCGCTCCGGTCCTTTTTCTTGGCCTCGATGCCGAGGCGGCCATCGGGGGCATTATGTTGAATCTACTGGCGTAGGTCAACAGCCGTCTGGTCCAACTCGGCGATGACGCCGCCCCCGGGAGCCCTGTTAGAGGCTTCGGGGACGTCGACCTCGCCGAGGGCCAGGTTCCTGTCCTCTACATTCTTGGAGTTGGCATGAGTTGTCCTCACCATTTTAGCTAGGCGTTTTGTGTTTGGTCGAGGGGGAGAGTTTCTTACTTGATTGTTCGAGCTCTCATCGAGAGCACCAAATGATGAATAGTGTACCCGGGGGTAGCTTATCCGAAGTGTTATTACGGGGAGTAACTAGAGAGAAGGCAGAGTAAATGAGTATAGAGAGAGAAAGTATATTAGAAAGTGTTCAGCGTTTTTTGCGTCTTGTGACCTGATTACAAATGGGGAAATGGGGTGCTATTTATAGTAACAATAAATGCCGGACAGGGACACGTGTCAAGCGTCCATTGGCCGAGAGGTCGCCTTAACTGGTTGGCGCTGGCAACCGCATGTGGCCGCATTTAATGCGGCTGTTGGATGGGACGTTGTACAGGGTACGGTGATCCATACGCATGTGGAGCGGATATTATGTCGGAAAAGGCGCCCTCGGCATAGATGACTAGCCGAGGGCTCTGAGCACCGGGGACCCCCTTAGTGCCGAGGACTCCAGTTGCCGAGGGCTACTGATTTTCGCCGTTTTTCCCAGTAACTTTGTTTTCCTGTCTTGGCCCTCCTGTGAAAATTAGAGCCTTCGGCCAGGGGGCCGAAGGCACCCCTGGTGCACATTGTGGGCTGCTTGGTACTCTGGGCGCTGTGATTTGGGCCTGTTGTGCTTTCTGGGCCTGTTGGGCCTTTATTGGAGCAGTAGGAGTCTGTGGGCCGGGGGTTCCCGGGCCATATACTCCATCATACTATTTTTTAGATAATTTTCAGATTCATCCTCCATTGTATAAGAATATTGTAAAAAATTATAAAAGCATTAGTAATTGGTTCAAAATATTTATATAGTAGTTGTTTGATGGTAGTTAGAAAGTGTAATCCTTATTGTATTAGTAATTTAAGTGTATTTGGAAACATGTTACACAAAATTCTTGAAATACAAAAACTTATTTTTATTTTAAAAAAGAATCAATAACGATGAAGCACCAGCGCCCAGCACATTTGCATGGAAACCTCCGTTGGAAACAAATTTAAATGGGTATTGGAAATCTTTTTGGAAACCTATTTTGGAAACAAATTTAAGTGGGTATTGCTTTTGTGGGGTGATGTCGTGATGCTGCGATTTAATTGGTAGGTGGGGGGGGGGGGGGGGGGCGTGGGGTGCGCCCAGCACAAAACAGAATTGAGGAGTGCCTTGTGGGATATATTTGTCCACTTTTGTAAAAAAATTGGTGCGCAAGGCCTTATTAGAGGCGCGCGCAGCACGAGTTTTGTGTTTTTTATATGTATTTTGACGTAGTGTTTTTGAATAATTTATTTAACTAATATCCCGAATGAATTTTAAGCTCAAATTTAGAGGACATCATCTACATTTCATTGAAAAACAAGCTCACAAAATTTTATCAAAAAAATCCACCTAGAAGCACCTCAAATGAAGATTACTCATGCAATGTATAAGAAGTTCGGTTCCTGCCTAGGAACCAGAATCGAACTGGAACCGAACCGATCATATACCATAGGAACCGAACCAAAAAAATGAAGTCCAAAATTATAGGAACCGAACCAGAAAATTCGGTTCGGTTCGGATCGGTTTTCCCGGTTTTATGGTTCCAAGTCCCGGGCCTACTATTAAATCAACTAATTTGTGGTTCTGCACATGTCTCTCTCCTCTGCACAAATCTCAACCACACAATTTTTACTATTCTTATTTCTCACTTACTTTGCACTTGGCAAAGTCCATCGGGATGGAGGTAGTACTATCATGTAATGGGTATGTAATGGGTGCTTTAAGGTTTAGCATCCCAAATGGATTCGTCGACACAAAGTGAGAAAAAAATGTCACATGTGGACTTGTAACTGTTTTCAACTAGTACATCACTCATGCGATGCACGGTATGATATTTTCTAAAATAATTTTAATAATCTTAAAATAAAAGTGTAATAGTTCGATAAATCAAAAGTTATCGACAGTCTATAAATACGCAACCACATTAATAAGTAACAACTATTTAATTTATTCATTTTTTGGGAATCTAGACTTGGGAATCCCGATTTGGGAATCCAAATTTGGGAATCCAGATCAGCTTTCCAACATTCAGTTGAATAGAAGATTAATTAATTTATATTAATTATTTACTTTGTTTTTCGAAACAGACTCAACATACTTAAAACGTATTCGTTGATTGTTGTACCGCGGTAAACAATCTTAAATAGTAGTTTGTCACTGTTGTGAACGAATTTATTTTTTGTGTGTTTTCGGAAAACTTAAGAAAACGAAAAATGACTTCTCAAGAAAACGAAATTGGTGTTGGGCATAATATGCCAGCAAACGACACGCAATCTGAAAGAGGAGCTCCGGTGAATGTCAGTTCAAAACGCGGTGCATCTGCTTTGGGCAACCAAGGGGCAATGCCTATGGTTACCATGCCAAGCAACTCTGTGGAGAAACCCGAAAAATTCAATGGGTTAAACTTCAAGAGGTGACAGCAAAAGATGCTCTTCCATCTCACTACTCTCGGTCTTGCTAGGTTCTTGACCGAAGACGCGCCGGTAGTAACAGGGGGTGAGGTGGACGCGCAATCTCTCAACGCGATTGAGGCTTGGAAGCATTCTGACTTCCTTTGCCAAAACTGCGTGTTGAACGAACCGCATGATGCCTTGTACGATGTTTATAGAAAGTTAGCTACGGCTAAGGAGCTATGGAATGCTTTGGACCACAAATATAAAAGCGAGGATGCCGGTGCAAAGAAATTTTTGTCAGCCGATTCCTTGATTTTAAAATGGTGGATTCGAAGACGGTCTTGAGTCAAGTTGAGGAGATGCAAATGATCTTCAATGAAATTCGAGATGAAGGAATGATAGTTAGTGAGTCTTTCCAAGTGGTGTCAATTATCCATTTGTTGCCGCCGGCTTGGAAGCATTTCAAGAA